GTGACGTATCCACGAGAGCGCATGGGCTTGGCAAAGAAAAGGCCACCTGGATGATGTCAGACATTCAGATAAGGCAGACAAATAGCGTAAAACACCAATAAAATGTATTTTACAATCCTTGAATCAATGAAATTGTATAATATCATGACACAAAATTTGCATCTGGTGCATAATTCACATAATAGTAACACTATAGCATTTCCTGTTTATCTCTGCGTGAAGAAATAACATTATTTTTTATATGTATGATATATATTTCTTGGAGGACCATACTACTACACCATATTAAACTACATGACTGCCAAAATACCATACAGTAGTATTCAAAACATTAAATACTTGAAATTGATTCCAGTGACTAATCCAGTGCAATAAATAGCAATTTATGTCAAAATTCTTTTCAGGTTTTGAAAAGTCCACACTGTGTTGCAACACTACAGTGATGCAGAGTGTCAAAAATAAAAGCAGACATGATGCTGCAGGATGATCACTCCAATAGATTATTTTCTTACACACTCATGTTAATGATTTAAAAAAATGCAAAATTAGTGGTATGGTTCTTTAGAAATTTTCTCAATGCTGTCCATTTGCAGCAACTCGTGCATTCCTACTGCACATGGCTCCTCACACTATACTTAATATACACTTGCTTCCCACAGTATAATTAAGGAAAGAGCATATACAAAGACACTGGCTCTTACCTACTACCAGGCTGAGAGCATAACCAAAGGGTGCTTGTGCCCAGGCCAGGCCGAAGTCTGGCAGGTAGACATACTCTGCTGTCCCATTGATGTAGCCCCCACCCACCCAAGTAGCTGAAACCAAGGAGAAGAAAAAAAGGTTTGTAAAAAAAAAAAAAAAGACTAGTTTGGTGCATGTCATGATTGTCTGTTGTGGATGGAGAGGGGTTCACTAGACCTTAGCTTGCAGTTGTGATTATAATTTAATAAAGATCCAACTGAATCCAGTTAGTGTTGGGGAAACAGAACTGTACAAATGAGGACCTGAGTTTGGATTTACAGCACATATTTAAAACTTTTCATTCATCATTCATCTTTAAGGGTTCAGAAATCGAGTGGATGCAATACTGAGCTGTATGTGCGTAAAAGACGCAGGTGGTGGAATTCATTGTCTTTTTCTGACCTCATATGATACCAACATGTGACAGCATGCGCACACGGGTCAGGTTAAACACCTGCCCATCAGACTTCAGAGATTCCTATAATTAACCAACTCACCGGTCATTGTGAATCCACCCACGAACAATCCGATGTCCCTTCCCCCGACCATGATGCTCTCGCTCCGGTCTCCGCTTTCGCTGACGCCGGAGTTTTTGTTCTTCCAGGCGGCCCAGATCCCCACAAACAGAATCAGGAGGTAGAAGATCACGATAGCCACGAGACCTTCGGCGTGGATGGCCATCTTCCTTTCGTCCGCTTCCTCCCGCCGAGATCAAGTGCTATTGCGCGCGGAGGACTGGAATCTCATGGAGAGAACTTTGAAGAAGAAGACAAGAAAGAAACATATTCTACGTCTGTCTTTGATCTGAATGAGGTATTTTACAGAAGCCTCACCTTGTACCACACCATTTTGTAAATCAGGTTATGAGCAGACGGACTGTAATTACAGAGCTTCCATGCGCATTACGCGGAGATGACTAAACCCACATGAAAATTAGCTATTAACCTCATGGTCAACTTGAAAACACTCCCATCCAAATACTGTATTTGAGGCTACCAAATTATTAAAAACGACAAGATTTAATTCAGACTCACTTGGTGTTGAGTAACCATACCATGGATATTACAAACTAACACCCTTTCCAGATAGAGAACACAATGTAATTCAAATTTGAATTTCATGCGCACCGATTAACTTCAGTACTAACCCAAGTAATATAAACACAAATCAATTCAAATTCTTGCCGAGCTCAAGCGGGTGCTTTTTCTTGTTCAAGCCTCAAAGGTGGAGTCACTACAAGAGGAAAATATCATTTCAATTTTACTACATATTACAATTAAAGATGACAACATCAGGAGAGCTTATAACCCACATTTTAGGCTGAAAAACACCTGTATTTTTCGAGTCTAATTTCGAATCACTCAATGATGTCAAATTACTTAAGCGTGATAAAGTCCCTGCATCCAGTACATGCATGTAAAAATACACAAAACTGATTTTCCTATCTTTTACCCACCACAATAAACTATTAGACAAACGCTCAACTAGAGCTGAAAGCCTCTTTGATTAAAAAAAAAGGGAAATACTTTCGTGCCTTTCCCACTTTGATCTTCGTCTAATTCTGTGACCATAAAAGATCATATCTGCCATATTTAACTTGTTACATAAAAGCTATGAAGAGTGGCCATACCTTACCGTGTCCAACAGACGCACAAAGCACAGGAAGCGGAACAACCGGCACTGCTTCATCGTGTCATCACATTAAAACAATCAGTAAAACCCAAACCAGAAATAATGGAATTAATAGTGCTGCACTTGTTTAGCTTTTTAAATTGTTGAAGCTACTTTACGCACGCCTTACTGCTTTACTTACAGACATGGCTCACTCCAGTTACTGTGCCAGTTCACTCAGTGTCTGTTCAGTTTCAACATAAAAAGTGCACAGCCTGCTCTGTCGCACAGTATGATTTTGAAAAACATAATAAAAAAAAAATGGATCGACATGGTTTTGTTTCGTGCGTAAAAGTCCATCAATGCTTCCCAAACGTGACGCGCCGTCACAAAACTGCGAACCATGAACCAGAGGAGACCTAAAACAGATGCAGAAGGGTTTTGTCTCCAATGTGCTGCATCACTAGAATCAAACCTGTGGGTTTCAGCTCCCCGTTGCGCTGACACCATGGTTCCAGGAGGCCGGCATTGCATTATTGATCTCTCTTTAAATCAACATCTGTCACTGTGGTCCAAAGCAGTTTCAGTGCCAAAACATATTAGTAAAAGAAGAGAATATTAAGAAGTGGTATCTTACCTTTCCTTTGGAGAAGGAGGTCTAAATATATGACAGGAGCAGGGCCTCCAAAAGAAGATTTACAAAGTGACAAAGACGGTTTTGTTGGAAAACTGCTAAGGTACCACAAAGTAATCCTCTTGGACGACCAGACCCAATTCTCCTATGTTGTTTTTTAAGTCACCAGTGCTCGTCGGAAAAGGGAGAGAGAGAGAGGGAGAGGGAACGAGCGAGGGACGGGGAGAGAGGGTGGAGGTGGGTGGAGATGAATGGGAGTGGTGGGTTTATTGGGTGCTGTCAGGGTGAGTAGATGCTGGATGAATGTCTTCCAGGGCAGGACGAAAATAGCACCTAATAGAGAGTGGCGTGACGCACCACCGCTTCGGGAGAGCTTTCCAATATCATAATATCATATTGGCAATGGATGGAACCTTTACTCCGCCAGGTTACATCTCAGGCCTGATTTACGATCTTGCCCCGCGATTAAAGCATCGCTTTTATTCTGCAAACGCTGGCTGTATGGTGGATAATGCTGCGGGTGGGAGCCTCGCATAGGGTTACTTTTTCATTTTATCACCCACTTTACGCATGCAAGCCGGAAGCTTTCTTACATCACTCCACACAACGTCCAAATCGAGTTTGTATAAGTAGATATGAGTCACAAGGAAGCAATGGCGACTCATGGGACATTATTTTGGTCCCTTTTGTACACTTGAAGTCATGTTACCAAATCCAGTCTTGGATGCATCAAGAGTAAGAGCTCTTTTTATTATATAAAGATGATTTAAAACAGTCGAGGATGTAACTTGGTTTCCTTGGATCATTTGGACCTCTGTCCATGGTGCTGAAATGTGAACACTCAGTGCTCAAGGCAGAAACACTGTACTTTATCCCCTTTAAATCACAGTGTTGTTTCTTCCAACATTTAGGCTATAATAGGTTCTCAATGAAGAGTTTAGTTTGTGACCTTATTATTGTGAAGCCTCTTCAGTCTCATTATGCGTTCAGCTTTAATAATCACTTTGATTTCTGTAGCTTTTTTTTTTTTTTTAAAAAAAAGTACTGACTTTTACTCACTTTTCTTACAGCAATAACTGTTCTTTACTGGTTTCCAGTCTAAATAGATCCCATTGTTTGGCCCTCACCAGCAATATAAATTAGCTCCTTGATGTAAAGTTGTTGATGCTGACTAGTCTGACTGCTGAAAACAATATGTGACTTGCTTGAATTGTGACACGTCCCCTAATTGAGTGTCTGTGTGGCTGACAGGCTGCCAGACAGAGGTCACCTCTAATTGGAAGGTTTTCCAACAAATAAGCCTCAGAAACACATCCACAGTGTTACAGGTTGTTCTAAGCAGGCAGCCTGGAGAGCCTCAGAGGAGTCACTTCCTCACAACTTCATATTCAGCATCCATTAATGAGAATAATTTATGTGTTTACATATGTGACTTGAGGACTCTGGCTCCATGTTAGAGTCATTAATAACCAGTGTTTCTATCTAGACTATCCTATATCATATCCAACAAACGATGTAGTCCTAATGAATGAAAAGTTCCAACTGAAGGCTTCAGGCTGCCTTCTCAAAAGACCTTTGTCGCCATCCAGTGGCTTTCTTGAGCTTCACAAAACATATTTTAAATGTTACTATACATGAACATCAAAGTTGGACAGAGATCCACTAAAGTCTGGTGCTCATAACTGCAGCAGGATTTCCCAGTTGTTAAACTGTAATTAATCAACAATGGACTTCAGGCTAAAAGGTGTCACTAGTTTACCTACTGTAGGTCTCTGTCACAGAGGACGCTTGGACTTGCCATACCTGGATAAGCACAGGAGGAACTGAAACTGTTAAGGGTGGCTCTGTTCCATTTAAGTATCCCAGAAACCCAGGTTAAATTCACGTTATTAATTACAGCTGTATTTTTCTTACTTTGACATGTCAAAATATCTGCTTTGAAAAAGGCTCATAAAAAACAACGAACATATTTTTATGAAATACTCATCTATGTTTAAATCATCAGAAACTGACATTGTCTTTTTTTTTTAATGTTCTTTGGCATGAAAATATTAAATACCGGGATAAAATATCATCAGCTTCCTCAAAAGAACCATCATATCTAAATTGGCTTTCAGAAAAAAGTTAATCGCAAAGAGAATAAGGGCTACGTGAAATGGAAAAATTTAAATATCACAATATTTTTGAACAAATACCTTGATAATGATATTGCAGTGATAGGTGAACTCATTCAAAAGCACATGTCCCATGCAGTCCTTACAACTTCATGGAGGTGATGGCAGGAAACACCAGCAAATGTCAGGAAAAAAAGGAAGGAAACATAATTTCAAATGAAAAATACATTAAAAGAAGAGGCAATGCAGTCCTCTCGTGTGCGCTGTATCGGCTTGTTGACTATCATTGCAATGATAAGGTTGACTTTTGGTGAATTCACAGCATTTACACAATGATCTGTTTGATGAATAATCATCAGTAATGTGGATATGATGACTAAGTGGGTAAAGACAAATAATAAAACAGCTTTAACAGTCTGTAAGTTCAGAAAATTACATCACTTTACTGTAATGCAGCCTTAAAAATCAGGAAAAGACAACACTTGAGATATTACGAAAACCAAAATCTAAGAAGATATAGTCTCATATCATGATAGATATAATATCAATATATTGTCCAGCTCTAACTAGAAAGTAGGCTACAACACAAGTGACAGAGCAATAGCTTATCCATTTACATGTGTGTTACAGCATACAAAGTGCAATCTGAATGTTTATAATGTGGCTTTTGTGGTTATCTGCAGTAAAATATTGCCATCTTCTGGTCCTTCAGGTACATAGCAGTAGGTCAGCAGGTTTGACTTCTCACTTCTTTCACACACACCAAGAGTTTTGTTAGGCTCTCAGACCTGGTCATGTTAAAGTTAGACGACAGCTTGAGCAGCTTGTTAAACTGCGATATCCTTTCAGAATCAGATTTGCGGTCAAACATGGCGAAGCAACATGCTGGTCTCTCCTTTTCCATTTTTTAAAACTTGTATTACGTATAAGGGAAACTAAAGTACTTGTTAAGATGTTTAAAATAAGTTGGAGAAGTCTTTTTTGTTCATAAAAGTCCCCATGGATTTTCAGTTATTGTATTATTATTTCCCCAAGTCTTAGACATAGTTATTGAGCCTGTAGCCACTGCTGGAAAGGGAGCAAAGTGAGGGCGCATGATTGTCCTTCAGGGCCTCGTGGGGCTTGTAGGGTGGAGCAGGAGGATATATGTGGTTGAAGGCAGGGGGAGGTGATAGTGGTTGACTCCTCTGCACATGGAGGGGCCTCTGTGACCTGCTGCCACTGCTGCTCCAGCATAGCACCAGTCCTCCGGTCAGACTGTGGAAGGCAGAGGCGTAACCCAGGTACACAGCTAGGCCGATCTCGTACTTGAACCCGCTGGGCAGGAAGGGATCGTAGAAATCCATGATAACATCATTGGTGGTCCAGGACACGGTGACCAGGCAGAGTAGGCCAGCACAGAGGAAACAGATCCCTCCACTTAGCACCAGAGGAGACTTGATTAAGGAGCCACGAGCAAAGCGGGTGCACTTCATCCCCATTACAGACACCAGAGATGCCAGGACTGAGGTGACGCAGGAGAGCATCATGAGCGCCCGGGCAGCCTAAAGTGGAGAACAGACAGGCACTTTAAAGCTTTGGTTCCCAACTGGTGGGTCATGGTCCAAAGGTGGGTCACAGGTCTATTCTGATTGGAAAGCAAGCATTCTCGGAACCCATCGACTGTATTCGGCGTCTGACTTCCGGCAGACGGCGATACAGCCTTTGGGGGCAGACCCCTGATTTTTTGGCATTCCAGTTTGAGGAGGCGAATTTCCGTTTCCGACTTCCGTTTATCTATAAGTAAATATGCTGAACCACTGCGATGGATTCAGAGTTTGCAGTGGCGCCAATTATGTTCCGCCTCGTTAGTTCACCGCACAGACCTTTAACCTGGCAACAACTGCAGCCGGCTCAAACGTGATTG